TGGAAAGATGGAGCCTTAAGCTTAATAAATGCTTGGGGTCCTGCATAGATTGGCAACCTGCCCTGTTTCTCCCCTGCTAGATGGAAGGCAATAAAGCTCCCCGACTATGCCTCTCTGCAAGTGGCTTGAGACGATGACAGCTTTCCACTTGATTGCTTATGTGGCAGCAGAATCAAAGGAATAAGTCGCACACACATACACACACACACACTCACACTGCAGAGAGGTTACCATTCCTGATCTTTGTCCTCTCATCTAGGGCACCTCTGTCTCTCTTGATTTCCAGATTCCAACCTTTGAGCTTCGTCGCAGAAGTTGGCTGCATGAGAAATTGCAAGCCCTTACCACCAGTCTTGGGTGTTGGGGAGGGGGGCAAGGAGTGATGTGAAGTCTGGGGGCGGGGGAATGATACAAATATTCTGGATGATGCTTTAAAATAAAAGTAAAATAGAACAGAATTACTTCCGAAGGCAGTTTTTCTTCCCCATGAACTCCACAAGTAAAATGAACCCCAATGGTTTTACTTCCCTTCTTTTCAGACTGGTACTGCGGCAGGGCAAAACCCTGCAAACATCCATGCACATCTGAAAGGGTACGGCTAGCAGCTCAGCGGTCGTCCCAGCGGAGACATAAGCCCATCAGTTCCCTGGCCTGGGGCACAGCCTCATTTGCTTTCCTGGTATGTCATGTGTCCTAAGGGAATCTACCAACTCCGCATGCTTTTCCTTCCCCTCCACTGCTTCTTTTAGAGCTAGAAAATGCCTGTCCACAAAGAGCTGCTTGCACCTTTTAGATGCAAAAAATAATGCACGTTTGTGAGCCTTTGTAAAGAAAGACTTCTCTGCCATGCGCCACAAAGGCTAGGTTTGAAGCATGGAGGAAGCTAACTGGATATATATCTGCTCCTGCTCTTCTTTCTGATATTTCAGGAAGTAACCTAGCTAGTATCAAAAAAAGTCCCCGTTCAAGGTTTCTAATGAATAACAAATTATTTGTTATTGACCTTCTGTAATATGAAGCCCATGCAAAATTAGCTGAAATACAGGAGTTACTGGAGCTAATATTATATACATAAAACCTCACGTATATACACTGGAACAAGGGAGGGGGGAACCATACTTTCTGCAATCTCCCCCAAAAAGCCATCCTTGTAACCAGAAGAACAGATGAACTAGTCCACTCAGGTGTATACAATTCATTGCAGTATTCCTCATGGACCGCATTTTTTTTTCTTTCTTTCAAGCTGATGCCAAGGCAACATCTCCTCCTCCTGGTAAAATAAGCAATAACCTCAGCAGAAGGGGAGAAGCTCTAGGAGGGAGAAGGATGGTGGAAAACATCTGTTGTGTATTCTGAGCCATCACCTCCCAAGATCAGCAAATGACTTTTGCCTTGTAAGTTCAAGGAGAGAGCCATCAACAGTAACATCTCTCTGATGGATGAAGGAGCACATGAAGAGAGAACTGGCCATGGGAGGTTATTAATAATCTTAAGGGAACCAGAACGCTGTCCAAGGCAAAAGGGCAGGGCATCTGGACACAGACATCCAAGAAGAAGGAGATGCTTTTCTCCATGGGCTTTTTGGCACAATGGTAGTTGTTTCCCCTGCAAAATGCTCCTGTTGCCTTATTGATTTTGTTGCTAGCATTTGCTCCATCCTTCCTCTGTGAAGCTTAAATTACTACCCTAAAAGCTGCATTGTGTGTTAATAAAGAATCTCAGAAATCATTTTTTAAAAAGTTCTAGAGACTGAGGAACATAACACAAGAAAGACTCTCACCCCTTGTCTTGTTGGAATATTCACTGCCCTCATTTGTTTTGCACAATTCCCTGGTTCTAACGTATAGAAGTACTTCAGTCCTTTCAAACAATACTGCAGTCGTGCCTCGCTGAACGATTACCCCGCTCTATGACGAATCTGCTTTATGTTGACGTTTTTGTGATCGCTTTTGCGATCGCAAAACAATGTTTTAAATGGTTTTTTTTCGCTGTGCGATGATTGGTTCCCTGCTCCAGGAACCGATTTTTTGCTTTATGATGATCAGCAAACAGCTGATCATCGGGTTTCAAAATGGCCACCGGCTGAAGAAAATGGCCCCCCACTGTTTTCTAGGACTGATTCCTTATTTTATAAGCACCGAAAATGGCCACTGTATGGAGGATCTTCACTGGACGAGCAGGTATTCAGCCCATTGGAATGCACTGAACGGCTTTCAATGCGTTTTTTAATTTCATTTGACGTTCTTGCTCTACAGCGATTTCGCTGGAATGAATTAACGTCGTCAAGCGAGGCACCACTGTATAGGATTATCAGAAGTGAGGATTTTGTGTGTGAAGTGTAGCTATATTTGGCAAATATATCCCATCTGACCCAGGTTAACCTACTGCTCCCCTCCCCCTCCGCAGGATCACATCACACCAAGCAGACCTGACCTCAAGACTTACTACACAGTAAGCAAACAAAACAGCCCTTTCATGCAAGATTGTAGTGTGAAATAACAGCAGCAAATTTTGAGATGCACTTCTTCACCTCATTCCTATTGTCCGTGTACATGGTGTATTGTTTGCATGGGAGTGCCATGCCTGGAAGTGTCCCACATTGAGAAGAAAGTCACAGGTAAAGGTGCCCCTGTAAAGCTCTCATATTCCTCTGGAACGGTTTGCCTTAAATACCTGCTTCATCTTACTGCTAACAAAGGCCAACCCTCAGTAAAGCTGATATTAAATACACACAAAATGACATTACTGACGTTGGCGTCCCACCCATGCTTGGACTGAGAACCTTGCCAACAGTAGCTCAGTGTTGTTGGCATTTCTGTTTATGATTCACAGGTTAAGAGACAGAATAGAAACACTGGCTTTCCTTCACAATTTGTGAAGTGTGTGTGAAGTTGCCTACAAGATGGGATGTTCAGAATTTGAGAACTCTTTGTTTCATAAAGGTATCCTCCCAAGATGGCTTTTGAGTTTTTGGGATTTGGGGGCTCTATTCTTCCGTGGTTCCAGTCCTTCCTCAAGGGCTGATCCCTGCTGGTACAGCTTAGGGAGGTGTTGTCCATCCCTTGGGACCTTCGTTACAGGGTCCCGCAGGGATCAGCTGCCTCCCCAATGCTTTTAAAATAACATCTGTTTCCCCCAAAATAAGAGTCTTATATTAATTTTTGCTGCATAAAACACATTAGGGCTTATTTTCAGGGGATGTTTCATTTTAGTTCATGTACAACAATCTACATTTATTCAAATACAGTCATGTCATCTTCTAGTTGCTGCACAAGGGTGGAGGGCAGGGTTTCACTTAAGTGGGGTTTATTTTTGGGGTAGGGCTTATATTATGAGCATCCTGGAAAATCATACCAAGGCCTATTTTCAGGTTAGGTCTTATTTTCGGGGAAACAAGGTAGCTATGAGAAGCTGCATGCAGAGATTTGGAGTACATCAATATGCGGATGACACCCTCTTCCTAACCTGCAGATAATGCTGTATGTGTCCTCAAGTGCTGCTTGGTATCAATAATGGACTGGACAAGGGCCAAGAAACTGAATCCAGCAAAGATGGAGATTCAACTGTTGGGAGGGTCATCAGACTGGTTAGATGGATATTTTCCTTGTCTCAATAGGGTTACACACCACAAAGGATTGTGTGCACAGCCCAGTGGTAATCTTGGACCTAGCTATCTCAATGGGGACTTGAATATGTTGTGGCCAAGGGTACCTTCCTGAACTTTAATTGCCCAGCTCCACTCACCCCTGCCTGGATAATAAATGCCTACCAGCAGTGCTCTCTTGTATTGGTTATCTCCAGTGTTCTCCACGTAGGGCTGGCCTTGACGTCAGTGTGGAAACTTACGCATGTACAAAATGTGCCAACTAGACCGATTACTCTTGGCACCCCTTCACAGGCTCCCACTAGTTTCTGCACTCAATTTAAGGTGCTGGTTGCAGCCTATAAAGCTCGTTTAACGGCTTATGACCTCAGTATTTGGCAGCACATCTCTCGAAAAACATAGTTAGCCACCCCACATGCTCCTCAGTCCTTGGTATTAAGAATTTAACACCTAAGGAGGCCAATAGAGCCAACTTGAGGAACCAATACAAATGCAGAAGCAGGTGATACCTTCAATCGACCATTGAGATAAAACAAATACAAATAGCAAGCGTTCAATGATAAATCATCTTCAAGGCTGTACATAGAGTTCTTGTGGGCAGTTCCAAATTTACGTGCTGTTTTTAATGTCCCAAATTCACACGGCTAGTAGTGTGGAGGCCAGGTGGGCTTCTCAGAGGGAAACGGCTACAGCCTGCATGATGTTTTCAAGCTCTTCTAGCAATTTGGAAGCAAGTTTCCTATAGAGGTTCAGGAGACACCATCCCTGTTTTTAGGAAACTAAGATCAAATTATACCAAGCTGACTTCTGCCATTTGTAACTATTATCCTAAGATGTTTAAATGGGTCTTAATTTGTACTTTTATAAAGTGGTTTTAGCCAGCAAAATGTAGTGCTGTTATGATTTTACCCTATGAACCACACAGAGTTGCAGGAACACTAATGGCACAATATAGAATGTAAATAATTAGGTGGTAACCGCCCCTTCTGCAAACTGAACTATGGCAACATTGGGAGCCCTCAAATCACAAGGCGGTAGAGCCGCTCCCTCACCTTGACACAGTTTCTACTGCCTCTTGAAACGATTAGAAAAGTGGTCCATTGCACAGTGGGAGTTGCATGAACTCCCTGTGACTTGTAAAGGTGCCTGGGAGAAGTTGATGGAGGCAGCCTCTATATCACAACTCACTGCACAGGAGGCACAACAGTAGTGCGCACTTATATCCCTCAGATTGCAGTAGCTGGCTATTGCTGGCTCAGACTGTATCCTCTGTATTTATCATGTACGTAATAAAAATGGGTGGGAGAAGAGATCAGGAAAGCTTTGAAATAAACTTGTTATGTGCCTTCAAGTCAATACTGACTTACCGCCATTACTCACTACACCACTCTGGGCATCACTGGAAGAAAATACAATTTATTTTCAATTATTTTAATAAAAACACAATTATATTATCAGCTCTTTTAAATAACAAGAGTGACATCCAACACCTGTAATTCCTTCAACGAAAGAGGAATAGGAACAAGTCATTAGACTAAACTGCTCTCCAAGGGAACAAGATTGGAGAGGGTAGTTGTTGTTCTCCCCAATATTATACACTTGTGAAATGTACTACTGCACAAAGCTGTTGCAAGCTGTAATTTTGTTTTTTGGTTTCACTTTAGCCTATTAGTGTCTGTGAAGCCAACCAAGTTTAAAATGCAAAAATACACTTTTATTTCTAATCACGCAACAGGAAACGTTGTTCAAAGCAAAGCAAGATATTCCAACTCTTTTGATCGGGTAACATCACAAAATTTATACAGCCCATCCAACCTTTGAATAATGAACCATGTGATCCACTTCAGCAACATACAGCATAAAAATATAAGCTGCCAGGACTGGAATTTTGTATTATCTTCACAAAATACCTCTTTGAAAGAAGGGCAAATGCCCCACCCAAGTGTCCTGAATTCCAGGATGGCTGCAGGCATGTCCAACAGAATTAAACTCAAACATAAAACAGTCCTAAGTTTTCTGATGGTGCTCCCAAACTCAGCGGAACTTTCTAACTATAAAATGCTAAGACAGGGACTTCCCAGCTCCTTCTTTTGCTAGCCGATCTGCTGCTTCATTCCCGGTAAAACCAGCGTGACCTGGAACATGCATCTGTTAACAATAAAAGTATGTGTCACTTGTTATGAAAGCACAAGTGTTCTACTATGTAACTGAGGTGCAAAATACTGTGAATGCATTGTAACAGTTTCTTCCACCAATTATCTAATTAGATACCAACAATAATCTTCCATCCCCAAGAAGCCTGAGGGATTGTCAGAAAAACATATGTATTTCCTGTATAATCTCACAGCCTCTCCTTTAATCACAACTGCTGATCTTGTTCTATTAGATTCATAGTAGTATGTACTGGTTATTTATTTGCTTAGTCCTTTCAAACTATATTACTTACCCACTGGATATCTATGCCTTCTGAAAGCTTGGCAAGTCTTTCAAAGTCTTCTTTGTTTACCACATCCTTTCCTGAACTGGTTCTCCAACCATTGGCCTTCCAGTTTGGAACCCAGCTTGTTGCACCTACGGGAGATTGAGTTTTGCTGAGGCTCCCATATTAATTACACCATTTTTTTAAAAAAAGAAAGAATTCCCAAACATCCACCACATCTGCCCAATGTCATCTAGGAGAACTGTTCTAGAGAGGCTAAGAGCTTCCTAAATCCAAGACATCTTGGTGTGGACTCTTAACATCTGTTGTAATGAATTTACAACTGAGAGAAAATCATACGTATCCTATTTGACTTGAGTTTTATATACATTGACAGTAAATAAGGGGGATGATTTTCCCCCTAATGAACCATTTTTGTTGGCACTGGCCCTTCTCATCTCTTGAGAAGCAGCAGCATGTATTAACAATTACTCTCCAAGTTTAAAAAGCTTACACTTAATAAAAGTTAATGAACTCCATAATTGTTAATCTTCAATCTCTTGTGCTACCAGAAGTGCAAGAGAAGTGACGCTTCTCTTTTCTGTCTTTGGTATCCAACAGCTAAGTTCCAAGGTAACCGTGGTAGTTCAAAGACTCATTAAATGCAATGGGAGTCATTTTTTCAGAACATCAAACTCAGCTTCCTTTTCCAAATATATTCTATTTCCCTGTGGTTGTATTGTCCCCAGAACAAGGTACAGTGGTGCCTCGCTTAGCGGTTGCCTCGTTTAACTATGTATTCGCTTAGCGATGAGGTTTTAGGAGCGATCTTGTGCTCCATTTAGCGATGTTTCCAATGGGGGAATTTCGCATAGCGATGTTCGGGACCTTGCTTCACTTAGCGATGACAGTTTAGGTCCCCCTGTTTCGCTTAGCGATGTTTTTGACCGCTCCGTTTTCGCTATTTTTAAAAGGTGTTAAATTGTTTAAAAAGGGTTTAGAGTGCTTGAAATCATTAGTGCACTTAATAAACCCTTTGTTAACCAGATTTGGCTTCTTTCTGACTCTTTTTGAATTTTTGTTGATTTTTTTTTCTCCATTGAAATGCATTGAAAAGGTTTCAATGCATTCCAATGGAACTGCGTTTCGCTTAGCGATGTTTCCTATGGCGATTGTCGCTTAAGGACGGCAATCCGTTCCCATTGGAACGGATTATCCGGTTTTCAATGCATGTCTATGGGAAAACGCGTTTCGCTTAGTGATGTTTTCCCATAGCGATAAATTTTTTGGAACCAATTAAAATCGTTAAGCGAGGCACCTGTCTACCTGCTGTTGTATAATAGGGAAAGCGCCACATTTCAATTTGATGCCATGATAATCATAGAGGTCTAAAACATGTTTGAGTCCTATTTTTTTCTATACCACTGTTTGGTCTTATTTTCCACATTTAGTGCTTCTCTGGGTTGCTCATTTTCTAAGTACAGTGGTGCCTCGCTTAACAAGCGCACCGTTTAACGCCGAATCCGCATAGCAATGTCGCTTTTGCAATCGCAAAAGCAATTGCATTGCGATGTTTAGATAGGCAAAAACTCGCATTGCGATGATCGTAAGCGTTTTGCTTACCGATCTTCGCATTGCGATGTTTTTACAACAGCTGATCGGTGGTTCCAAAATGGCCGCTGAGTGCCCGAAATAGCCACAGCAAGTGTTTTCGCGCCCTGCCCTCACTTACTGAGGGCGCAAAATGGCGGCGCTATGGAGGAACTTCGCTGAACGGTGAGTTTGGGCCCCATAGGAACGCATTAAACTAAGTTTAATTAAACACATGAAACTAAGTTTAATGCGTCCCTATGGGGTTTTTCGATCCGTTTAGCGATGTTTTTGCATTGCGACGATTAATCCGGAAGGGATTAGCGTTGCTATACGGAGCACCACTGTACAAGACTGCTTTAAATCAGTTGTGACTACCACAGCAAAAATGGAACTTGAAGGCTTAGCAGGGTTGAGGTCTTCTTCAGTTGTCTGGCCCTGGCTCAAAATAGAAGGCTGACTTGCATACAGATCCCTTAATCACTTCTCAACCTGTTTCCTCCCTTCGCATTTGAAAAGCCTGACATACCAGAGTATTTTTCTGGGTTCCGTCTAATCAGACAATTTTTAGTTACTGTATAAAGTGGCTAAACTGAAACTCATTGGCTGTCTACTGCGGAGCACTCTTATTCTTTAATCCAGTGGTCCCCAACTTTTGTGACTGCAGACCGGCTGAGCCTCTGAGGAAGGCGGGGCACCCCCAACGCCTGCGCAAAGCGGTGGGTGAGCCCACGCACCTGCATGCCCCTGCCCACCTGACTGGGACCGGGTCGCGGACCAGGGGTTCACAAACTCCACTTTAATCAACTTCATATACAGAGAAAAACGACTTGGAATAAGGATAGTTTCTGTGTTAACTTTCTATGTAAGTCAAGACCCTGGTAAATCAGGATCCAGAACTCGCGTGGACAGCCCCCATGGGCTTTTATGTATTCAAGTTCCCAGAGAACTTAAATATACAGTCTCAGAGGTCTTTCAATAAGGTCATGTTATATGATTTGAATACCATGTCACAGACTAATAAATATTGTAAAAGAACATATTCTACATTCCTTCCTCCCCATTTTTTCAGAAAAACAAACAAAAAAACAGCTTTTGGGGAGAAACCCGTCCCCCCAATTTTTGTTTTTTCCCCAGGCCCTCCTATCTCTACCCATGGTTAGCAGATCTCTTGTTATCTCTCTCTTCCCACTTGCTGCTCTCCATACCTACAAGGATGACGAAACAGTGGACTGGAGTGCAGCAAAGCTAGAACACTCCCTCTATTCTCGAGTATTCTAGATTTTCTAACACCTGAAAAGAGCTTCAGCATTTACTCATTCTCACCCATGGACTAGGTCTACATGTAGACAAGCTGAAAAGATAGACTGATGCAACAATGGCTGGCAAGTCTTATGACTGGGGGGCGGGGCACAGAGAGAAAGAAAGGAAACAACAGTTGGGGCAAAATCTCCTTTCTATAATGAGTAACACATTTTCCAGCAAATGTCACTGGTTAACACTGATTACATGGAAAAAATGAGAACAAAAGATCCATATCCACATGCCTTTTTTCAAAACTCTGGAATATTATGGCATAAAGCCAACTGCTAGTCCAAATCAGAGTAGACCCACTGACTGTTCCTGATAATGTTAAAACCCCACTGACTCAATAGGATTGTCACTGTTGCACCTAGTCAATTCGATTAGGTCTCTGTAGAGTCAACCCTCGATTTACGAACTTAATCCGTTCCGTAAGTCAGTTCGTAAATTGAGCCAGCATTTCCCATAGGAATGCATTAGAAACCAATTAATCCGTTCCGGCCGAAGTCCTCCCATGGAAAAGCAAGCCGGGTGACCAGGGAGAAATCGGCTCCCTCCTTTCAGCCAATGCTGCCGGGGCTGCCTCCTTTTTGGCTTCGGAGGTTTTAAAGGGCTTCCTCCGATGTTGGAGGAAGCCTTTTGAAACCTCTAAAGACAGGGAGGTTGGAGGAAGCCTTTTGAAACCTCTAAAGGCAGGGAGGAAGGGCAGGAAGTTCAAATTTCCCACCCTTTCTCCCTGCCCTTTGGGTTCGTAACTCGATCTGTGTTCGCAAGTAGGGTCTGCTACTTGCGATGAGATCGGGTTCGTAACCTGAAACATTCGCAACTAGGGCCATTCGTAAGTCGAGGACCCACTGTACTTAAAATAAACTATCACTACATTGTTCTATATCCAAAGTAATTGCTGTATTAATCTGTCAACAAAAATAATGGACAGACAAAAGACACAACATTGTGCTGGTTTAAAAAGTACGATTTATTTTAATATGAGCTTTGTAGATCAACATGCACTTATTTATTTAATTTCTATGCCGCCCAATCTACCCAGAGGCCTCTGGGCGGCTTCCCTCAAGAAATCTGAAGAAATGGATTCTGATCCACCCAAGCTCACACTGAAACATTTGCTCATTATTCAGCTACCTGAGCAAGACGTACACATTTGTTTCATCAGTCTACTTTATATATTTTGAGGGGGTGCATTTCTGACTTTGTCTTTTAAATGTAGAGACAAGGAAGGGACACAGGTTTGGAAAGTGCATTTGATCAGGAAATGTGTGGGAGGTTCAATGCTGTAAGTAATCACTTATCCATTGTGTCCAATAATAGTGAACTCTTTCAGCCTTATAAATCTGACTTCCTTGTATTTTACGAAGATTAGCAACAGTGATGTCCAGCCTTCAAGGAAAGGGGGGGAAATTACTATCCATTTTCAGATTCAAAGCTGTTTAAAAAACACACAATTGATTGCCACGTTTGCTCAAAATACATGAGGTAATATTCAACCACATAAGGAGTTAGGTTCTTGGATAAGTATCTCACAAATATATCAACCACTATACAAACTCATACAGACAACATTCAGACTGACTGAGAAATTAAGAAGTGATTCTGTGCAGAAACTCTGACCTGCTCAGGTCAACAGTTGCGCTCTCAGATAACACAATCCTTTCCCCATTCCCAAGCCGTTAGGATCAAGGGTTATTTTAAATGCTCTTTCTTTAACAATTAAACCAGAAGCTGGTTTCAGTAACCCATTGTTAGAGTAATGCATTTCAAGATTAACTGGAAATGTCTCATAAAACAGACTACACATTCCCATTCTGCACAATCAGTTCTAGTTTAGGAAGACTATATCCCACCTCTGTTTTACTCCCACTTGCCAACAAACCTTTGCTTACCATTAATGGTGAATTTGCTATCAGTATAAATTGCTAGTTTCTTGATATTTTGACTCTTTGCTTGTTCTATTGCTTTGCAAGCTGCCTGAAAAAAAACATTCAGAAAATACGCCTTAGGAGTTAGGAAGCTAAAAAAAAAAGAAAAAGAAAAAATTAAAACTCTGTAAAATCAATATAATTCAATTGCACGTAAGGGTCTATTTACCCAGAAATATATAGAAATTAGTTTATGAGTACTTGATTCCATCAAAGACTTGTTTTACTATAATTCTATTTACCTGTCTCAGTGAAGATCAAGAGTCTATTCCTATAAAAGTTGTGGCATCTTTTATATTTATGTTTTGTTTTTACTTACATGTATTTCAGCTCTTTGGTTAGTCTGCCGCCCAGGAATTCTCTCACTGGTATTTCTGTGGAATACACAAGACAGGCAAATGATTAGAAACATCATGTGATAAAAATTTACTGCAACACTGAACAATGTCCACACTATAAAAATATCCCATAACATAAAAATGACACCTACCTAATCTGGATACTATGATTTGAACATACTTTAAATGGCTGTATCTGCATCTCTTGCCAAAATAAACTTATACATGTAACATTTCACGTGTTCAAGATACATGACTAAGTTGTGATTGTGACAGCATTAAGGAATCTGATGTGATCACAACTGTCTAATAGCAGGATGCTGTACAAGGCAGGGCTAACTCATAATCTTGCTAGACTACTTCCTATTCATTCACACAAAATGCTACAGTGGGGTCATGTTTCATGACACAACATGAACTTCTGTGAGCTTAGAGTGAAAATCGTGACAACAGACAGCTGCTCTCAGTTCAAGACACTGCTGTCAAGAGTAGTTAGGAAGAGGGAGTAGTAAGAATATCTAGCCGGTCCTCAACTCCCGAGACATCGTATTTTGTAATATTTAGCTGCAAAGGTCCCTTGCATTCATGCAGGAAGCAATCACCCATCAGTAGCAAACCAAATGGATTTCCACTGTGGTGGTATCTGGGCTATACAGTTGCTACTAGCCATGATCACACTCTTAAACAGATGGCAAGTTGGTGCAGTTACTGATATATATCTAGACTATTACACTATATCCACATTAAAAAAAGTATGATCCTAAGAGGCCTCTTCTTACTTCTTCGTCAGTCTAAGCTTACAAAAAAGCAAACTCTACTTAAACTGAATTGAACCAGCCAAGAAAATAAAGGCTAAGAAATTACAACCATTCACTAAAGAGGCAGCAAAAAGACAGGCATTAAGAAAAAAGTGTGGAGAAGTTCCATCATTCAACCAGGCCTTTCTGCTAAGATGACCCTGCCCATTTGGTAGATTAAGAGGACAACGCCAGGTATCTGGACCTCTAGGGAGTAGAAATATTTTTAAAGCATGCACCAGACAACCACTTTTATCTTACTTACAGAGGATGACCAGGTCCCCAATATACACCCATTCCAGCGCGTGCTTTATGCCGCCCATTACTCGAGCAACATCCATCAGTGTAAACAACTGCATAATCTCCTGCAAATACAGATTTTTATTGTAAAAAGACAGGTGTGACAACTATTCATTTCAGTATCCAAAAGAAGTCAAATACAACATTGGTCAGAGACTCTTGGTAAAGCTGAGTTGAAGACTTAAGAGAAAACACAATTATTTAGGCCAACATTCCCCAACCTTTTTGGGGCTGCAGACCGGCTAGGGGGAAGGAGCACGTTGCACTTGCATGATGGGCGTGTTGCACCCCCGCACATGTGTGACATGGCCCCTGTAGGCTCGGCACACCCCCCACAAGCGTGGGGGGGGGCAGAGATCCGTATCCGTGGCCCAGTTCCAGCAGGCCCACAGACAGGCACTGGGGATTCGAGATCTGTATCCGCGGCCCAGTTCCAGCAGGCCCACGGACAGGCACTGGGGATTGACGACCCCTGATTTAGGCAACTTCAGCAAATACAGATACTTACCCATAAAGGAGAATTTATCTTTGTCCTCTGGCGATGAATAAGGCACTTCAGTGTATTTTACACGCTTTCTGCTGTGTTGGTTTTCTGAAATCTGTCCATTTGGTCTCTTATATGAGCTATAATCTGACCATGATGTAGACTTGTCATCCCTGTAACTGTTGCGTTCCCATCTTCCACCAAAGTCACCACTGGTACCTTGGGGAAAATAAAAAGTTATGCCAACAGTTAGATTGAAAACACAATATTCATTCCTAAGAACCTCACAATTCAATTCTGGACACACAGTAGTATGTCTGAAATCAGCAGAATTTACCTATTTCTTCTTAAAACCCAACATTTGTTAATATGGCATTTCTGATGTCATGTAGTTACAAAAATGTACAACACAGACATCTAAGAAGTTTGCAAAAATAAAAATATGACTAAGAATTCATAACTTTATATTATGATAAAAATAGAAGATCAGCATGAATATTAATACACACTAGACTTTAATATACACAATAGTTGGAAACTGCCAGTTCTTGTAGTCAAGTATCAATTTCTGTAACCAGCTCTCTGAAGATCAAAAGAAATATGTATATACAATGGTGACTAATAATCACCAAAATGATAGTATTAGGTTTCCCACAACATCTTAATTTTTGTACCTCCAGGACACAACAAAAGCCATGGCGAGAACTATTTCACCTCATCACAGTAACATTTGCATGATATCCATATTAAAATAAAGTATTAGGTAACAAAGAAAGCAAACTATGTTATGGTAAATTTAAGAGAGAAAGAAGATAGCAGGACAACTGTAACACACTAATAAACAGCATTTAATCTACTCCTCAAATTCCTTCCTGGAGATAAAGTACCATCTGCTACATTTCTCTCTGCTTGTTTTTGACAACATAACCATCACATTTACTATAGAATAAATTTAGTTTACCCACAGTAATCATCCCAAGGCCATATCTATATTTTTGCCAAGCACTAGTTCTTTCTGGAGTTCTTACCTGTTGAATAACTGCATGAATCTGTTGATCCACCATTTATAAAGGCCCAAGCAGCTTCCTCTGTTGGAAATTTCTTAAAACTGGCACATTTATACTTGTCGACTTGCTCTCTACATTCCTCCCTGTGAAAGGCATTACATTATCAAACAACTGGACATGTTGTTTATATTCTATTATTTCTTATTCCTCCTCTGAGTAGACTGGTCTCTGAAAAAATATATTGGTCTGGATCCTAAACTAAGTTACGGAAGCCCACACCTGATAAATCCCCCCCCCCAAAGAATACTTTATATTTACAGATTAGTCAGTCAGTTCTAACATCACAGTCCTCTGGTCAAATAGTGGAATTCGGTGTGTAAAACTGCTTTTAAAAACTACCCTCTTAAGGAAACTTTTTTGGAATTAAGTTCCAGGAAAAAATCAGCTGGATTGACTTTGTCTGAAAACTTTATTTTTATTAATGTAGGGATGTCACTATTCCTCTAATGAGTGTGGAGTTGGTTACATGGTCCTTCCAGCCTCCTTTATTTTCATAACATAGAATTTTTTTTTGGGGGGGGGGGAGAGAATACAACCTATATTTGTGTGAGTTTTTTTAAAGCACTGAAGACAAATCTATTCCAGTTTTCCTCCCTTTTCCCACACAGGCCTTTAATGTCTTTACGGGTTGTCCTTCAAAAGTGTTGGGCTAGCATCAAGGAGGTTTGACTTTAAACTCTCAGGCAATCCCCCCCCCCCCGCGCGCATCCCTTGGCCAGTCACCTTCCCCCCCCCCCCTTCCCCCCCCCCCAAATCCTCCCTCACTAGGCTGTTTGAGAAGGTGCCTTCGCGGGGTGTGTGTGGGTGACGTTTGCTTTCCTCCAGCTGCCTACAAAAACAAGCCTGGCAGGTAACTTCAGAGAAAGGGGAAGCTGCTGTCAAAGGGAAAGGGCCCTTCTTCCTCCTCTCCTCCCCATACACTTTTTGCGAGGGATCTCGAAGGGGAGGAGGAGCGGGGGAGCAAGGAGGGCTGAATGACTGACAGGCCGCGCTCCTTTCCTCCCTCCCGGCGGCAGGGCTGCTTACCAAGAGTGGAAGATGCCGGTCTTTCTGCCCCTCCGCACCGCGTAGAACATGACGTCGCTGCCGGGAGCCCCGCGGGCGAGCCTGGGCAGAAAACAAGGATGAAGGAGAAACGCCAACAGCCGGCGCAGCATGAGGGTCACTCATCGCATTCTCCCCTCTCTCCCTGGTGATGGCCTCCGCCTCCACTTCCGCCTTCCGGTCCCCTCGCCCCGCCCCTTCCGGTCCCCTATAATTTCCCCACCCACCAATCCCTGGGTTGGGATTAATAAAGGGCGAAATAAAACACTTGCGGCCTATAAACAAAATTCTGAGGAAGGAGCTACTGCGAATCAACTAAATTGCCCCCACACTCGCTAGGGAGTGGTCAAGTTAGCTCTCCTTCCCTTTTTATAATTAAGCCCACTCGGCCCCTCATAGGGCGGACGGCAAAGGAAAACCGGAAGAGCAATCCTGGCACCAGCTACGGATGCATCTCTATGGCCCAAGAGGGTAGCGCTCATACGTTCCAGTAGTAAACCATTTCCTGCGCAGGCGCGTTACGTTTCCCCGACCAACTCCCTTATTCGCCTTCCGAAACCCAAGCGGCCGCTCCGAACCACGGGTTTGGCGCATGCGTTCTCCACTCCCTTCGTCTCGAAGGCGGGAAAAGGACCCGTTTCCCTGCTCGGAAAATGTAAACACGGCTGAAGCAAGTCTTCAGTGTACACTTTTGCGTGGGGGGAATATCCTATAGAAAAAACCATGGCGCTTATGGACTTTGAAGGTCAATGGGGGGGGGAACCAGACGCGCCCTTTGTTCGCTTCTCTACACAGACCCAACGTCAGTTTCGAGCCAAGTCTCCTCAGGGAACCCTCACAAGGCCGACCTATATGGCACAGAGGTGGGGAAGACTTCGTCGGAAGAGGCTCCCCGGGAGCTGGACAGCCTCGTTCCCACCTCCGCTCAGGGACAGAAGGGCTCCGCACTCCGCTCGCTCCTGAAGATGCTGGAAGGGAAGCCCTCCTTCCTCCTCCCTGGGAGTCAAGGAACGGGGGCTGGGTGGGTATTATTCCCTCCCAGAATAAACACGCCACCTTTGACAAGCCCTCCCCACCCGAGGAAGGCCCCCAGGGAGCAGAATGATACTGAGTGCATATTTTCACGTGGGAACACATCCCCCTGAACTTCCGTGTCGGCAGGCATGTCATCGGGACTGCGTGGCAGCCAGGCGTGGAAACACGCCACCTTTGACAAGCCCTCCCCACCCGAGGAAGGGCTCCCCCCGCCCCGAGGGAGCAGAATGATGCTGAGTGCACATTAGCACGTGGGAACACATCCCCCTGAACTTCCGTGTCGGCAGGCATGTCATCGGGACTGCGTGGCAGCCTGGGCGTGGGGATGGGATGACCTCCCCGCCGTCCCCGTCCCCCTTCGACAGAAGCGAGAAAACCTGATGCTCTGAATTGGCCGCAAGAGCTTCCGCGGCGAGCCGTCTTAAGGTCGCCCGGACCCTCCGGGGAACTGCTCACAAAGATGGCACGCTTCCCCGACCTCGGCTTCCATTTCATCCTTTCGCCTCTTTCTCCCCCTGCTTATCCCCCAACCCACTCGCACTTACCTTCCTGCCGCTCAGAGAGGCACTGAGGTGCTTCCCGCGCTTCTCTTACTTTTATACGGCACAAGGGAAAGGCGGGGGGGGGAGAAACAGGAGGGGGGGAATCGAGAGGCAAAAACTAGGGCTTACAAAGAGGAAAAAAAATTACAAAAAATGAATTTTATTTTAAAAGTTAATGACAAAAGCTAGTTACAAAGAAAAACGATTTACAAAAACTAAACTTTTTTTAAAGATAAGAAAAACTAACGAAAACTAGTTACAAAGAAAGAGTGAGGGGAGTGACTGGAATGAGGTTTTGTAAAATTCAAATTAGGGTAATATCTTTTAAGTAGCCAAGCCATGGGTCAGAAAATGTGCAACCTTTTGAGCAATTCAAAACCTTTCAACAGACTAGATGTTAAAGAAAGCAAAGTGTTTGGAAAGATGGGTGAAGTTGAGGACTTTTGCTATCTTTACCATTTAGCCTGAAAAAAAGGAATGTTCGAATCAAGATACAACTACCTGAAGATAAACTTGGGAATGTTCTTATGTTCAGTGTGTTCACTTGTTGCTTTCTGTGCATAATAGCATGTTGGCTGAAATCCTGCAGCTTAGTGCAAATTGCACCTGTTGAATCTCAGGAGAGTTGATGATTCGACTTCTCCGTAATTTCCACTGATTCAAGTAGGCCTATTCTAGTGGTAACCAACTGCACTAAAGTAAATTGCAACTAGGATATGCCTCCTTGAATCAATGGAACCTACAGAGAAGCTGGCTCACCAGATCTCTGATTTAACTTTGGTGCAACCTATTATGCTAAACAGAATTTCAGCCATTGTCTTTCCTTACATTACCCTTCCTTGCTCTCCATGGCTCTTCCTAACTCTTGATTAGAAAAATGGCAGAAAAGGAGCAGCTACTGAAAATTGGTGATTCAGCTGGGCTTCTTCTCTTACAGTACAGATGTTACCTGGAAGGTCACAAGCATGCACATTGGAATGGGCACATGATAATTTGCTAGGGGATTAGGGTCACAGTAAGGCTCGGTTTTCCAAACTATCAAATATCTTGTCTTTGCCCGTTACTGCAACCTATGGTAGTCATGTTCCATGGCAAATAAGTGAATTAATTAACTCTCAGCTTCCCCTCTCTGCAAAATATACCACAATTATTCTGTATTTTGTGTGTACATCTTTTGCAGCTTTTCACAGTCTCGGAGAAGGAATCACCTCATGGCTACACAAAGTCGTTCCAGCTAGTTTGAAAGTAGGAGCTACAGAAAATGCTTCAGTGCCAGAACAGTGTAATTATTTAGTTGTTCTCCAGACTCTCATCCTGTTTTCTAAAAAGCTCAATACAGCATATATAGTCCTTTCAGTATTTATCCTCACAACAGCGGTGTGAGGTAGACAAGACAAAAATGATGACTGGTTCAAGATTGCATGGTTGAGTGAGAATCTGAATGCAGGAATCTTCCAGGCGTTACCTAATATCTATTGACTACATCAATTACTTATTTATGACCCATGCAAGCTACACGTCAAGCCCTAATAGTCTGCTATATTATTTCAAGTTACACTGGACACATCCCTATTTCTAAGTCTTTAGCCATAAGCACCACATAGTGGAAGTCTGTATGCCAAGCAAAGCCTCCTGCTCATGTCCCCCAGCAACTGATATAGAGACATTTCTGTCTGGAATGAAAAGGAGTACATAAATGACTTATCACTGATAGCCCCCATCTCCTCTAATGTATTTAATTCCATTTTCAAGCTATCTAAATTGGCTGCAATTGCTACCTCTTGTGCTAGCAAATTCCAGAGTTTAACTATTCTGTGAAAATGTGTTTTTACTTGGCTGGAATCTCTCACCATTTTGTTCATTCAGTATATGGCCTCTAGACTTGAGTACTGTATTAGGACACTATTAGGAGGGGGGAAGTACCCATGCTACACATAATGTTATATATTTCTGCCATGTGTCCCTTATCTGTTTTTTAAGTAAAACAGCCACAAATATTGTAAGTTTTATTCACAGAGGAATTAATAATTCTGGCTGCCTATTTGGAGGAATTTGCCCAAGTGTTTGAGGAAGCCCTTCCAGGCCCGGCTGAGGCAAATGCGCCTGAACGATGGGAACATTTCAAGAATGCTGTTTATAACACCGCCTTGTCCACATTTGGCAAGAGGACCAAAAAGACAACCGACTGGTTCGAACCCCTTTTGGAGGAGTTGATGCCAGCCATCGAGGAGCTCTAGCAGCATACAAAGCCTGTCCTAGTCAGTACAACTTGCAAGCTCTTCGAGCTGCTCGTAGCCAAGTCCAACAGGCTGCCAGGAGATGTTCCAACGATTATTGGCTTCAGCTCTGCTCTTAGATACAGTTAGCAGCGGACACAGGTAACATCAAGGGAATGTATGATGGTATCAAGCAGGCTTTAGGTTCAATACAGAAGAAATCTGCTCCCTTGAAGTCTGCTACAGGCGTGATCATCCAGGACCAAGCAGAGCAGATGGACTGCTGGGTGCAGCACTACTCCGAGCTATATTCCAGAGAGAATGTAGTAGCTGAAGAAGCATGAAATAACATTGAGTGTCTGCCTGTCTTGGAAGAGTTGGACAGCAAACCAACCTTAGCAGAAATAAAAGCGGCCTTGGATTCCCTCGCCTCCAGCAAGGCACCAGGAAAGGATAACATCCCTGTTGAAGTGCTGTAAAGAGACCATCACCACCGAACTGTTTGGATTAGTCTTTGCTGGAGCGAAGGTGGAGTACCACAGGACATGAAGGATGTAAACATTGTCACATTGTACGAGAACAAAGGAGACAGAGGTAACTGAAATACCTACCATGGCATCTCTCTTCTCAGCATTGTAGGGAAGCTGCTTGCCCATGTTGTGCTGAAGAGGCTCTAGGTGCTTACAGACAGAGTCTATCCAGAATCACAGTGTGGATTTCAAGCTCATAGATCCACCACTGACATGATATTCTCCCTCAGACAGTTGCAGGAGAAATGCAGGGAACAACAACAGCCACTCTTAGTGGCCTTCGTAGATCTTACAAAGGCCTTTGACTTGGTTAGCAGGGATGGCCTTTTTAAAATACTTCCAAAGATTGGATGTCCACCTTGACTCCTTAGCATCATCAGGTCCTTTCACGAGGAAATGAAGAGCACTGTAGTTTTTGATGACTCATCATCAGGTCCCTTTGACATCCGAAGCGGAGTGAAACAGGGCTGTGTCCTCGTGCCAACCCTGTTTGGGATCTTTTTTGCTGTCATGCTGAAGCACGCCTTTGGAACTGCAACAGAAGGTGTCTATCTCCGGACTAGATCAGATGGAAAGCTCTTTAATCTCTCTAGATTGAGAGCGAGGACCAAAGTCCAGCTGAAATGCATGCATCTTCGCCGATGATGCAGCCATTGTTGCCCATTCTGCTGAAGACCTCCAACAACTCATGAATCATTTTAGCAAGGCCTGCCAAGACTTTGGACTAACAATCAGCCTGAAGAAAACAGAAGTCATGGGCCAGGGTGTGGACTCACATCCCTCTATTACCATCTCCACGCAAGAATTGGAGGTTGTTCATGAATTTGTGTACCTTGGCTCAACAATCTCTGACACTCTCTCCCTAGATGTC